CCTTCACCTGGGATTGAACCGGTATCTTGTGATCTGACCTGTGGAGTGCTAACCACTGCACTATAGACCCACAGGTCAAAAATAATAAATTTAATAAATTATTTTGATCAAAATAAAATATAATTGTTATTTTATTGATTATTAATGGTGTCACCTATACTACATTTAACTATCTTTTTATATTATAAGTTATAAATATTTCTTGGGAAATGTAAATTTTTTCACAGCAAACTCATCATCGATACCATTCTATATACAGTAATGAGTTTTTTTAATACGTTTAAAGAATTAATAGAAATAATTGGTTTTTTCATAATGAAATTGTATAAGGTTAAATTGAATCAAATCAAATTTTTAATATTTTCAATTATACTATATTTGAGATAATGGTAGGTATACTGAAAGATAAGAAAGAATAAAGAAAAAAAAATTTTTCACAAAGAATATGTATGCAAGCCACCATGAGAAGGTATATTAGTTATAGAGATATAACTATAAAAAAAACCAAAACTGCAAATAATAATATTTACAGTAGCAAGTGCACTCTTTCACGTACCTAAAGTTTTTATGAAAATTAAGATTCGTACTTTTTTTTTTGTTACCTATTTCATACCAAAATCAACATCTGGGTAGCATAACCATTAAAAATAGACACCAAGAAAATCTGGGTAGCAAAATCATCAATCAAATATAGACATTCAACTCAAGATTTAATTAGACAAATCATTGGAGACAGGCAAGAAAGTTCTCATTTACAAATTAGCTTTTGAGAAAGGTTCTATTCATGTAAGTAATTTTGGAGCTTCAGCAGATGCAGATAATAAAAATTTCCAGTTATTAGTGGATGCAGGGGTCAATACTTTATTTTTTGGGGATTCCGATAAAGATGATATTATAGATATCAAACTCGTAAGTATGGCTGGGATAGGTTTGGGAGGTGGACTCACACTTCAAGCTGGAGCATGTGTAAATCTTGTAGATATTGAAGCCGCGTGTTTTAGAACAATGTCGATCAAGATGTATCAGTTGATCCCGGTAGTGTAGCATTTAAAGTTGCAGTCATAAGTGTAAAGTTAGGAAAAGAAACAGGTTTGAGTATGCCCTTTGGAGAAGTATTGATTGATTTCGTTAATGTCATGGATAGTACTATATTGAGAGAAATGTGTAGCGTTTTAAAAGGGCAAGCGTTTAGGACTAGAATTGTAATAATAATGATATACTAACACTATCAGGATTCGTAAGAGAAAACTTAAAACCAAATGTAAAAATCGATTACTAATTTATCGATTTTTTTAACCATCTTTTGTGATTAAACTTACTTTTTCTTATCATCAAAAATAAATTTATATGAAATATAGATGTACAATATCTGAAAGTATATGTATTGATCAAAATAATAATCGAATAAAGATATAATAATGTTTGAAAACAAATTTCACAAGAAAAAAATTTTCAGAATATTAGATTAAAAATGTTTTAATGATTTTTCCAATATTCATAAATAAAAATATATATTTATCCAAGTAATTATAATTATAATTATAATACTTTATAAGATTGTTTATTATTTCAAAATGAAAAGAAGTAGCTTTGTAATAAAATTATTTATAAATTTTATTTATAAAATTGATATTTGTTTTTTTGATATATTATATACAAAATCAATAAAGTATAAAGTATATAATAATACATATTTATTTGCCACTAAGAGCAGATATATCATTGGAAAAAACTTATGAAGAAAAAATCTGAAAAACTATCTGCTATAAAAAAATAAAAAATAAAAAAAATATTTAAGCAAGATTGCCAATTGTAAAAAAGAATAATAGAAGTTTGATTAAGAAAAAGAAAAAAAATTAATAACATATATAAAAGTCTATATATTACTTAAATATAAATAAGACATATAATTAATAATTTATGAAGAGTAAGATGTTGTGATAGTAATGTGTGTTAGAATTTAAGAGTGTATTATTTTTAAATCAACAATCCCTTCTATAGGACATAAATCAAATACTATATATCTACCTAGATTACTATTTCCTTTTCGATAACTAGATATAACTCCAGCAACAATAAAAGAGTACTGGCTTAAGCTGCCAGATTATGAAGTGCAATTCTTTGATATTTTACTGTAATATTTAATGTATGAAGACATTATAATGTTAGGATTAATAAAGGAAAACTTTATTAAATATGAGAGAAACCAGACAACTCTATTATTTTCCAAAGGAAAAAGAACTTCCTTATATGGATAATTTTCCTATATAAATAAATAAAGTAATAATACATAATTGAATATAATACATATAATCTTATTGGTCCTCTGG